TGGCTAGTAAAATTATTTCAACCTGTGTTAATTTCAGAAGTACCTACAAATGTGTACTGAAGGATATCTACAAAATGTTAATATCAGCATTATTTATAGGAGTCCTACACTGAAAACAATCCAAATGTTACTTAAAGGTAGAGTGGATAAGCAGTTTTTTTGCATATTTCTACAATGGAATACCATATGACAATGACACAAATATGCTAATAAAGCATCAACATGAAAGAATTTCCAACATAAGATTCAGTGAAAGAAGTCAAACACATGAGATCATGTACTGAAAACAAATATGTACTGAATTATTTCATTTGTATAAAGTTTAAAACCTGGCAAAGTTAATCTGTGGGCTGCTAAACATTACCCTAACAGTGATCTTTTGAAAGAGGGTGAGGCTGTGATGAGAAGGTGTCATGGATTTAGCAAATTAACCCTTGTTAAGTGGAGCACTGGGTGCCAGAGGGTGATCACAGACCGTCAGAGAAATTGAAATAGAGAAGCTTATTTTTCACAGGTTCCGTAGGAATTTAAGGGGCCCCAAGGAGAATATGGCAGAGCATAGACAGGTAATTGGAACTAGAGGCACATGGCTTTTTTGGGGGTCTATGAGTGGAGTGCTTTGGGGTTCCTGAGCTAAGGCCATATTGGTCAGCTCGACTCACAAGAGTGGGTTTCGGTAAGCCCTCGAGGAGTCTTATCTGGTGGGCACATGAGGGAAAGGCATCGGGAGGCAGAAGAGACTGTTCATCACAGAGCTGTTGGGGGGGTCACACCAGAAACTTCCATATACTTGTGACTGCAGACTGCTACCTAGGGCATGCACTTGCATGAAGGGCTGGTGTCAGTTTAAGTTCACTGCCAGCTGCTTAGCCACCCAAAGTGGATGCAGAGCAATGCAGCCATGCCAGGGGGTAGCTTAGCTATGCTTTCAACAGAGGGGTAATACGAATGATTTCCGTGGTGTTGGTAATGTGCCATTCTTGGTTAGGGGGAATGATATTTCCATGGCTATGTTCATTTGGAGAAAATTTATCCAACCATAGTATTTTTCTGTACGTATGTTGTACTTTGATTTTGTTAAAGATTCACACAAATTCATGAAATTATTATTATTCAGTGTGTAAGCCCTGTAGGTTTTTCAGTGCATAAGACACAAAATGCATTTTGAATGGACATTGTTAGAGATTGGTACAAGCTGGATACTTTTTTCCCTGCTTTTGTTTTTCATCGGTTGACTGACTCATGCCTATTCTAACTAAAGTCTCCTCTACTTCTGTTTATTGAATAATTTAAATGAGTAAACGTGCTGAGATAAGAGACTGAATCTTTTTTTTCTGTAGATAAAGAATTGACAAGTTTTCTGAACATTTGTAATGATCTACAAGAAAGCATGGCAACTTCAAAAAAATCTATGAGACTTGATGCAAGTGGGGGTAGTCTAAGTCTTCTTTTGCCTTTTCAAAGTAAGCTCAGTCTTTGAAATAAGTATGCAGCTTTGTTTGGATCTGTCAGCAAGGCACAAAGATGAACTATGTCTGGGTTACCATTGTCTGGTCGATTTGAAATGAATCCCTTCAAGTTTTCCTGGTGTACTGTGCAGTGAACTAGGTCATCTCAGCACCTCTTTTAAGCAGGATAATTTGAAGAGTGGTGTGAATAACTCCTGAAGGCTTTCTAGCACTGCATCTACATCAGATGAGCCAGAGTGAACATTCAGCTGGATGCTATCTCTGTCCTTAGGATCAGAAAGGCATGAATCTCAATCCAGAGAGAAATGGACTTCTTTTTTTTTTTCAGCCAGGGAGAGGCAGGAATTTATCCCAGCTCAGAAATGGTGAGGGAAGGCTGCCCCCCACTTCCACTTCTAGGTTTCAATGAGAGGGACTTTATGTAAGTTTTAAAATGAACTAGGGGTGGTGGAAGGGGAGGTGGGTGGGGGGGTGAGGGTGACTGGGTGATGTGCACTAAGGGGGGCACTTGATGGGATGAGCACTGGGTGTTCTTCTATATGTTGGCAAATTGAACACCAATAAAAAATAAGTTTATAAAAAATGAAAAAAAATGTTATTATCAAAAAGAGAATTGAATAAAACACAGTTGGAAATATTTTTGAATATTTGAATACTAAATATTCAAATAAAAGCTCAAATATTCAAGTATTTTAATATTAGAGTAAGTCAAATTTTACCTGTAGGTTGGTGTGGCCTGATAAATGATTTGCTGGTATTGACTATGGTCATAGAGTGGCCAAATAATTAAGTGAACAGTAAAGCAAAAAACAAAATAAACAAAAACAAGTAAAGCATTTGATTAAATTCAGTTTTACATTTCAATTTTGCTAGTAACTTTGTGGAATCAAGTAAATTCAGTTAAAAACAGAGAACCCCCACATGTACTTTGGTCAGATAACCTACTTTAGAATTCCCATGATGTTTTTCATGAAACTCTAATTCTTTGAAACATTCTCTTTCTCTCTCTCACACACGCACGCTGTTTTACACACACTGTCACACAAAATTTACATACATATATTTAGATTTGAATGCAAACACATATACATTCACCCAATTTTCTTAATGAAGTAGGACCAGGGTGGGTCTGCTAGGCTCTCCCTTTTTGAAACAATGTGCATTACTGATTGTACATATTCATTAGAATGGTGGCAGTTGCGCTCAGCCTCATGTAGTGATAACGTGGGACACCTGGGTGGTCCAGTGGTTGACCCTTCAGCTCAGGGTGTGATCCCAGGTCCTGGGATTGAGTCCTTCATCAGGCTTCCTGGAGGGAGCCTGCTTCTCCCTCTGCCTCTGTCTCTGTCTCTGTGTGTCTCTCATAAATAAATAAAACTTAAAAAAAATAGCGATAATGTGATCAAACAGGTGTTGTGTCCACTCGTCAATATATATTGTGAGTAACATCGTTGGCGCATTGAGGAAGTAATTGTAACTTGAATATCCCTTTCATATCTAAGTAATATCACTTGCTAAGGGCAGTTTTAGAAACCATAGGAAGGAGTTCACTGGAGATTATGGGTGATAGGGTAGGGGTACAATGACTCTGTGAGGTCCTGCTGAGTTAATATATCTTTTCAGAATTTATCCTATAGAGGTAGGACACCACAGCTACTTACCTGGCTTGAAAAAACCACCTTCAGAGAATTTCTTCAGGCCTGGCAACTGCTGTTACGCTTTGCTGGACATATCTAAATTTATGCTTTGTACATAGTAAACTCTGTTATAAAATTTATAAGTCAGAGACTTTCTTTCTCAAGACTCCAACTCAGTTCTTTGCCTACTTTATGTGATAAAATAAATTGAAGAATCCTGGGCTAAACAAAGTCTAGCGAGCCCCTTGACTGCACTGCTTCTTAGAGCCTTCGGTCCACTGACGGGCATTACGAGCTTGCAAACAGAGTATATAGCTTGTAGTATTAACCGAACTCACTTGACCGCATAACTCTTCTTCAGTGGGCTTTTTTCCAACACTCGTGTGTGGTTGAGCACATTTTGAAATTCAAGAGTCTCTACAGCTATGATTTCCACAAAGATGTATTACAACCTGCTATTTATCAGGAGCTTTTTAAGGTATTAGAGATACAGAAATGAGCAAGGCTGTAAAATAACTACTCTTGGAGACCACATTCTAGAAGATGCGAGACAGAAAAAGGAGCCAACTAGTAAATAATAATAGCAATATTATAAACATCTGAAACATATACTACTTGCTGTGACAGGAAAAATAAAGGTATTTGGTCTGACCCAGGGGTCTCACAGCTTCTGCCAACATCCAGGAAACCCTAACAAGTGGACAGGTTTGCTTGCTAGTCGGGTAAATGTCAGATCCTTTACAGTTCTTTACGCTCTTGCATTTCTCCCAGAAGTAGATGGTTGTTGTTTGTTAGTAGTTGCTAAATGTATTCCAATAGCAGAGAAGGGGTTTCTTTTGTCAAAATCCAGCCTCAGCATCACCCCCACCCTGACAACCCCCCCCCCATAGAAGGCAAACTCTACATTGAATTTCTGGCTGGTTTTAGGCAGGAGAGTTTCCTATGCCCCTCCTTCAGTGGTGGTGGATCACTGCTTATTATTGGGGTTTTATCCTTGGCCTGAGACAGTTTCTTAGCCTTTGAGTCAGTGGTGAGATATATATAGCCTACTGTAGAAGCAGTTTTGCTTTTGTTCTTCTATAGAAAAAGTGGTTCTTGGGACGCCTGGGTGGCTCAGTGGTTGAGCATCTGCCTTTGGCTCCAGTCTCAAACCTGAGATCGAGTCCAGCATCGGGCTTCCCACGGGGAGCCTACTTCTTCCTCTGCCTGTGTCTCTGCCTCTCTCTGTGTGTCGCTTATGAATAAATAAATAAAATCTAAAAAAAAAAAAAAAGGAAATAGTGGTTCTTTGACTATGGCCCTGGAACAAGAGAGTTCATTGTCTTCCTCCAAGGCTGAAGATTTTTGCACTAGAAATAATGTTCCAGGGAAGTAGGCAGGTTTCCTTTTCTTGAATCCCAGAAGCAATCACTACTGGTTCATCAACACCAAAACCTCTCTTCTTTTGCCTTACTCTTAGTCTTCCTAGCGAGCACTAATAAATGCTCAGGAAAAAGAGCTTGCAAGCGAGTATAGATTTCCTTTGTATCTTAGCTAGTGAAAATTCCAGTTTGGCCCCAAATTTGATAGCCCATTTCTTTTTTCCCCCATGTTCTGCAAAAGGTTTGAGTATGCATTTTTCACTTGGGAACTCCATTTTCTCAGTTGCCTTGCAGTCTCTTTCTTCTCTCTGAAGTATTCATTAAAAAGGTATGATTTCTGTACCTCATCCAGAGTCATCATATATTTCACACCTGGGCTCATTGCACCTGTGGGTTGGTGCTCAGTCCTGTTGGAAGGGCAGGGGCTGAGTGGCGTGGTTGTGGCCGGGGAGAAGTGAATGATTTCATCCAGAAGGTGGGTGCTGCCTTTCTCTGCTGGCACCAGCACTGCTCCCTGCTCCTCGTCCAGGGCCATGCCTTTTAAATTCAGGGCCTTCTGCAACATGCTGGTGATGCTGCTCACCACTGCTCTCATCTTCTTTGCCAGCTGGCATATTGTAGGATCTGGTAAGTTGAGGACTGATTACAAGAACACCTTGAATGTTCTTCCAGTACAATACCTTGAATCTCTTGTATTTCCAGAAAACTTTATCCAGGTTTTCTTCTGTGTCGTGCTTCTTTGTGCACCTTGTGCAAGGTGGCTTATCCTGGGTCTCAATATGCCCCCTTTGGCATATTGTATTTGGAGGTGTATGAATTGACCAGTCATGAGTAGACCAGGTATCATGACCCCATGACCATCATGAATGTAGATATTCTGGTGTATTGTCAGAAAGAAGGATGGTGCAATTTGCTTTTTTATCTTCTAGGTTTTTTTTTTTTGAACTACCCAAGCAGTATGATCTACATTTTGATGAGCTCTTAGAACAACACATGGAGGAACTGGCCCAACAGTGGCTTCTAGAAAGCCTCCAAAGGAAAGAATTCTATCCAACAAAATCCTGTTTCCAAAGTAGCCTTGGGAATTTGATCAGTTACTTTAAAAAATGAGTCAGTTTTAAAATGTTTTCACTTTTTTTTTTTTTTTGCTTATGGAAAGACTGTTTTTCTATGTTATACTGGGATAAAAAATTTAAGTGGAATTACAAATAAGTTAATGCAAAATGATTACCTCTGGTGTTGATAAATTTGAACTTGCACTCTTTAGGGAACAACTATAATCCACTGAATGATTGCATTCATTATTGACTGTCGTTAGTTCTTTGGGAATTTTTGTTTATGAGAACCTGTCAGTCTCATTTTGATTTTATTGAAATGCCATCTCATTGTAAGTTAGCTGTAGATACTGGGTGATATACTGTCACATACTGAAACTATGTATCTGACCTGTGGGAAACTTCATGGGTTTCCTCATCTATCATGTAGATGATGAGATATGGATACATTTACAATGTAAGAAAAGTGGAATTTTTTCCTCTTGGACTTGAATATTATCTCTGTGTATTACAGGAATGAGAGATTTTACATATTTCCATCAGAGTAATATACTTGCTTTGATTCTTTTTTTTTACTTGCTTTGATTCTTAAGCATACATGAACATGACATAAAAATATATGCTGAATGTAAGAATGCATTTAAAGCCATTTTAAATGTGTTTTTATATGGAAGAGATTACTTATTAAGAAACTGATTATTATACTTATTGTTCTAATCTCATGGTAAAGGTATTTTCAAGAATTTGCAAAATCCTTTAGACTTTCAAAACTGAGTAAGAGAGAACATTTCATAGGTATCCAGCTGTTCCTTTGATGCAATACAATAAAACTCTGAAATTAAAAAAAATGAGAGCAACATTGTTTTGTAGTGCTCTACACAATATACAGTGTTTTACATTCTAGGTGGAAGCATTTTATAATACTTATAAAAGTAGGTATCTGTATGTAGGAAGTTTCATCTAAGTGACTAGAAATAGTGCCTTGAAGATTCCAATTTATACCTCACTTCTCCAAGGTATATACAGATCGGTTCTGACAAAATTAAAGCTGTTTCCAAACATTTTAATGTAGAACTCGATTTTTAAAAAAATTACCTCTTTCAACATGAGTGTCTATCCAAAAAATAACAAGTGTTGCCAAGGCTATGGAGAATAAAGAACCCTTGTGCACTGTTAGTGAGAATGTAAATCAGTGCAATCACTGTGGAAAATAATATGGAGGTTCCTCAAAAAATCAAAAATACCAATACCAGATGATCAGTAACTCCACAGCTGGGTATTTACACAAAGAAAACAAAAACTAATTTGAAAAGATATGTTAATCTCCATGTTTTTTGCAGCATTATTTATAATACCTAAGATATGGGAAGCCTAGGTGGCTCGGTGGGTGAGTATCTGCCTTCAACCCAGGGAGTGACCCGGGGTGCCAGGATCGAGTCCCATACCGGGCTCCCTACATGGAGCCTGCTTCTCCCTCTGCCTGTGTTTCTCCCTCTCCTTGTGTCTCTCATCAATAAATGAATAAAGTCTTTAAAAAATCTTTATAATAGCTAATATATGAAAGCACCCCAAGTATCTGCCAACAGAAGAATGGACAAGGAAAATGTGGTATAGAGATACCATGGATTATTACTCAGTTGTGAAAAGAATGGAATGTTGCCATCTGTGACAACATGGATAGACTTAGAGGGTATCATGCTAAGTGAAGTAAGCCAGAGAAAGACAAATACCATATAATTTCACTTAAATGTAGAATCTCAAAAATAAAACAAATGAGTAAACACAATCAAACCAACCAACCAACAAACAAAAAAACAATCCCATAAAAACAGAGAACAAACTGGTCGTTGCCAGGGGAGAGGGAGGTGAGAGTGAAGGAGATTATGAGATATAAACTTCCAATTATAAAACAAAGTCACTGATGAAAAGTACAGCATAAAAAAAAAGAGAAAAGTACAGCATAAGGAATAGAGTCAATAATATTGCAATAATGTTGTGTGGTGACGGGTGGCACCTCACTGTGGGAAGCAAGGTGGAATGTGTAGAATTGTTGATTCACTGTGTTGTATGCCTGAAACAAACATAACTTTGTGTGTCAACTATACTTCAATAAAAAAAGGTGTGTCTATCAAGCCTAAAAAGATCATGGAAATTGAAGAATAGAATATGATAGTTTGTCTTTTGTGTATTACGTGAATTTCCTGAATAATATTGTAAATCGGGGAACTGAGATGTGAACTACAGCATATATAAACACTTTGTTCTTAGCATAAAGTGGAAGTAGTGTTTATTGATTATACACTCTTTTTTCCATCTACATATTTAATGTCTACTATGTGCCTTGCACTGTGGAAAGAAACATAGATTAGCTGGAGCCTCTGCCCTAAAAGACTACATGCTGAGGAAATAGACAATGAAAAATTGTTTTAAGATTTTTGTTTTGTTTTGTTTTAAAATCTCTAATAGAAATAAGTACAGGGACAGATGGCTATAAATACAGAAAGACAAGGGAAAGGAAAATTCAAATTTTTATTAACTAAGCTTTACACTAATTCACTGAATCTTTATAATTGTCCAATTTACTAATTATTATATGGGTTTTTACAAATGAGAAAAATTGAGTTTAGTCTTCAAAAGGATAAAAACCACCCCAAGTTTCATGTCCAGTATGTTTCAATTTGGGTAAAACAAAACTAAGTAAAGAGACCAAAAATGCTGCGAAATCATCCACATAGTATGCAATTTGAGTAACTTTATAATGCATTAGTATTGTTGCCCTATGGAGAAACAATTTAAGGTCATTTGCAAAAATGATATTCAATTTGTTTAAGCATTAGAAAACATTATGCGTGCATTGTAGTTTTATTGACAAAATATTCTTTCCAAGCAGGGGAGAACTATTAAAGTCAACAGATGGAAGCGAGTGATAAGGTTATAGAGGACTCACAATAACCATGAATGTATGTATCATCGACCCTATCAAATGCTAGTCTCTGTTACTGCTTATGATTTACCTGGTAATCATAATTACCAGGATGATTTTGAGAAGAATGTGGGGCCCTTGTTAATTTACCTTGAATGGCTCCCCTCCATTTTCTTGAAAGCTCTTACAGCATTGAAATAAGGTTAAAATAAACATTCAGAAGATAATTTTAGGAGGAAAAGTAAACAACATCCTTTTAAGAATATGTGAGGAAAGCCCAGGAAGGTTGTTGTATGGGGTAGAGGCTGGGGGAGGGTGCTTATGGAGCTAGGAGCCCCACTAACTCAGGAAACTTTCTTCTCAGTTGGCTACAGCCTATCATTGTCCATCCTGAGATCCAAATCCACAATTCTCAGAGCTTGTGTAATACCAAGCTCCTTTCAAATTGGCAAAGATGACATGATATTTAGCGGGTTTTAAGGAAAGGATATTCTTACTGCCTTCTAATTGTTTTGAGAAATGTACTATACATGATAATTAAAAAATGTATTTCTTTAATCTAGAAGAGAATAATAGATAAATTTTTCTGTAACTCTAACATGCAAGAATATCTACTATTCTTTGGATTAGAACACTTGACATTGACATTAAAAATTACAAATAATAGGGGCGCCTGGGTGGCTCAGTAGTTGAGCATCTGCCTTTAGCTCACTCAGGTCATGATCCTGGGGTTGTGGGATCGAGTCTGGCCTCAGACTCCCTATAAGAAGCCTGCTTTTCCCTCCGCCTGTGTCTCTGCCTCTCTCTGTGTCTCTTATGAATAAATAAATAAAATCTTAAAAAAAATACAAATAATAGATTCCTGTTGCTTTAAGCAGCTAAAAAGTAATTACTTTTATGTATACAATTTTTGCTATAACCTAATAACATAAAAATATTGATGGGAGGATTATGAATAGGAAAACGATGTCCCAGTCATGAGTCAAGCACAAAGAATTAAAAACGAATTATTTATGAGGAAAGCTTGAGAAACAATGCAGTAAAAAAAAAAAAAAAGTCCTTTCATTTTTGCCTGGTTTATAATCTGCATTTCCTCGCCATCTAGTGGTTAAAACAGGTGTTAAAAATAAAAGTGTTCTAACATTTTGGCATTGGAGGCCAAGTATATTAGACGTGTAGAGATAGGAATATAATGTGCGATGTTATTGTGAACCCAGGACCATACATCATATTTTAATATCGGAAAGAGAAAGAAATAGTCACAAACACAACAGAGGTACAAGCGGGTACAGGCAAGGACTCCAATTAGTCTATCGAGTATTTCATAGTTAGTGATTCTCTGTTGGTGCTCAGTGCTTAGTGTTTATTCACAAACTGGCTTTCCTTGCCTGGAAACAGCTAGATCCAGGCCAGGCCTACCTAGACCAAATAGGACTTTTATTATTATTATTTATTTATTTTTAAGATTTCATTTATTCATGAGAGAGAGAGAGAGAGAGAGAGAGAGAAAGAGCATGAGCAGAGGAGAGGGGGTGAGGGAGAGAGGGAAGCAGATCCTCTCTGGGCAGGAGCCAGATGCAGGACATGATCCCAGGACCTTGAGATCATGACCCGAGCTGCAGGCAGACACTTAACAGACTGAGCCACTTTTGTGCCCCAAATAGGACTTGTACACATGGTGATTCCACTTTAGGGCTTCATAGTTCAGCTAACTCTAAGAAAGGCTTACTTCTGGAAAAAGAAAACATTTGTTGACCTTGGACCTGCTGGAGTTATTGTAGGATAACACAAACTTTGTTGAATACATTAACAAGAGATATTCTTTTTTTAAAATTTATTTTAAAGATTTTATTTATGTACTTAAGAGAGACAGCAAGAGTTGGGGGGAAGGCAAGAGGGAGAGGGAGAAGCAGGCTCCCCACTGAGTGGGAGCCCTTCCCTGATCCCCCTAGAACCAAAGGCAGTCACTTAACCTACTGAGCCACCCAGGTGTCCCAACAAGAGATA